ATGGAAACCAAGGAAGGAGAGAGGATAATATACAAAGTGACAAGGCAAAGAACACAAAGTAGACAGGACGTGGGAGAGGTATCTGTGATAAAGGACAAAAATGGAGTCTTACTGACAGAAGAGAATAAGGTCAAGGAAAGATGGAGGGAGTACTTTAGCAACCTGCTGAATGTGGAAAATGAGTGGGACCCACTCCAGGATTGCCCACCGGCTGAGGGCCCCTTGCCTGATATAAACGAGAAGGAAGTAGAAGAAGCAATGAAGAAAATGAAGAGCGGGAGGGCAACAGGGTGCTCTGGACTACCAGTGGACCTGCTAAATCACCTAGGCAAGGAGGGAATCCAGATGGTCACGTCACTCCTTCAGAAAGTATGGGATGAAGAGAAGATGCCAATAGAATGGGAACTAAGTGAACTAGTCACCATTTACAAGAGGAAAGGGGACCCACTAGACTGCGCGAACTTCGGGGGCATCAAGCTCCTAGAACATGTTATGAAGATACTGGAGAAGGTGATAGAGGGAAGGTTACGTGGACTGGTATCGGTAAATGATATGCAGTTTGGCTTTAGCCCAGGTAGGGGAACGATGGACGCTGCCGTTATTATAAAGCAACAACAGGAAAATCTCGAAGTGAACAGGGACTTTCGTGGACCTGGAGAAGGCGTACGACCGGGTATCTAGAGACCTGGTGTACTGGTGCCTCAGACAGCAAAAAGTCCCAGAGAAACTGATAAGGATGGTTGAAACGACATATCGAGGAGCAAGGACCACCGTGAGAACAAAATATGGCAGAACAGACGAGTTCACGATCGGAGTCGGTCTGCACCAAGGGTCTGTACTTAGTCCCTTCCTCTTTATCGTGATACTAGACGTCATTAGTGAGAACTTCCGAACAGGCCTGCCATGGGAGATTTTGTTTGCAGACGACTTGGTAGTAGTGGCAGACAGTGAGGAGGAGCTGCAGAGAAAATGGATGAGGTGACAGATTGGAATGGAGAGCAAGGGTTTGAAGGTAAACACTAAGAAGACTGAAGTTATGGCAAGTAGCATGAGGGATGTGGAAGTGAACATCAAAGACAGGGACAATGCTAGGCTGAAGCAGGTCCAGGAGTTCAAATACCTTGGAGTGACCTTAGATGCCAGGGGAGGGTCGCAAGTGGCTATGAGAGCTAGAGTGGCAGCAGCATGGAACAAGTGGAGAGAGCTGCCAGGTGTTATCAGTGACAGGAAGATGCCTAGGAAACTCAAGGTGAAGCTATACAGCACTATAATACGACCTGTGCTCCTATATGGGGCAGGAGTATGGACAATGGGAAAGGAGGAGGAGAGGATACTGGAAGCTACAGAAATGAGGATGTTGAGAAGAATCAAAGGTGTGACGCTGAGAGAAAGGGAAAGAAGTACTGACATCAGGAGAGAATTGGGAGTGAGTGACATCAACGAGAAGGTCAAGGAAATAAGAAGGAGATGGTATGGACATGTGAAGAAGAGAGAAGAAGGACATCCAGCAAAAGTGGCTATGGAAAGTATAGTACCAGGAAGAAGGCCGAGAGGAAGACCAAAGAAGAGATGGAGAGATAACGTGAAGGAGGATATGAGCCACTTCGGCGTGCGTCTGGAAGAGGCCCTGGAAAGAGAGACTTGGAGACGGAAGACCCGGGCGGCTGACCCTGCAAGGCGGGACCAACAGCCGTAAAGGGAAAGAAGAAGATATATACACATATATGCACATATATATGTATATATGTATATATGTATATATATATATATATATATATATATATATATATATATATATATATATATATATATATATGTATGTATGTATGTATGTATGTATGTATATATATATATGTAAGATAATAATGATAATGATAATAATAATAATGATAATAATAACAATAATGATAGTAACGATGATGATAATTGTTATTATTATTACTGTTATCATCATCTTTATTATCATTACTATCATCAATTATCATTATCACTTTCATTATCATTATCATTATTATTATTATCATATTATCATCATTATTATTATTATTATTATTATTATTATTATTATTATTATTATTATTTTATTATTATTATTATCATTATTATTATTATTATTATTATTATTATTATTATTATCATTATTATCATTATTATTATTATTATTATTATTATTATTATTGTTATCACTATTACCATCATCATCATCATCATCATCATTATCATTATTATTGTCATTGTTAATATCATTATTATCATTATCATTATTATTATTATTATTATTATTATTTTATTATTATTATTATCATTATTAATATTATTATTATTATTATTATTATTATTATTATTATTATTATTATTATCATTAATATTATTATTATTATTGTTATCACTATTACCATCATCATCATCATCATTATTATTATTATTGTCATTGTTAATATCATTAACATTTTTGTTATTATTATCATTATTATTATTAATATCATTATCAATTTTATTA